ATTGTCAGCAAAGAGGGCAAGTCCCAGCTGAGCTCCAGTGCTGGTAGTGGTGGCAACAAGACCGATCCAAAAAACAAAGGTCACATCAAAAGCAAGCAGTCGAAGCAGTCCAATGGAAGTGGGGGCAGCAACAAGTCCAAGACGTACGCCACCAACCTCGAGGCGAACATCTCCGCCAAGCCGCAGCCGAAGCCCTCTTCAAAGGACGCCTGAAGGTGCTGTGCTGTCTCCTCTTTGGGCAAGTCAGTATTTGAAACACACACGCAGCAGCAGCATCTGTGTGCTGCCATTTGCAAATATTACTATACACGCACTTGTGTACTGGTTGTAGATGACATTATTAATATGGGATAATATATCTGATAGCAAAAGATTAGTGCGGGTTAGGAGGAGGGAGGAGAGAGGACTGGTATGTACAAGGGACACATCAAAAAGATTTTATACAGAAATCCGTGGTGAAGAAAGAAGGCGGCTATCACAATCATAAGATAGATCATCAGATAAAGTAGGCGGCGGTGGCAGTGCCGGGCTGATAGGAGGAGGCGCTGTTCGCAGAGGACATAAAGGAGGACATGTTGTGCGGCCAGGCAGCGGCGGCGGCTGCGGCTGCCGCAGCATCGGCCAGATTTCGACTTGGCAGATTGGCGCTGGCAAAGGGTGAAGAGTTGGCTGACGATGACCAGGAAGAGGATGACTGGTGGGGGTGGTGAGGGTGGTGAGAGGAGGGGTGATGGGAGGAGGAGGAGGAAGAGGAGTGGTGAGAGGGGTGATGGAGGTGGTGAGGGTGGTGATGGGCGGANGGCTGCGGCTGCCGCAGCATCGGCCAGATTTCGACTTGGCAGATTGGCGCTGGCAAAGGGTGAAGAGTTGGCCGACGATGACCAGGAAGTGGATGACTGGTGGGGGTGGTGAGGGTGGTGAGAGGAGGGGTGATGGGAGGAGGAGGAGGAGTGGTGAGAGGGGTGATGAAGGTGGTGAGGGTGGTGATGAGCAGCNAAGAGTTGGCTGACGATGACCAGGAAGAGGATGACTGGTGGGGGTGGTGAGGGTGGTGAGAGGAGGGGTGATGGGAGGAGGAGGAGGAAGAGGAGTGGTGAGAGGGGTGATGGAGGTGGTGAGGGTGGTGATGGGCGGAAAAGGCGGCGGTCTGCTCGTTCAGCATGCAGCTGTTTCCATTGGAAGCGTACTGAAAAGCGTGGTGATCGGCGGACGAAGTAGAGCTGACGCCGTTGCCATTGCCACCACCATTTCCTTGATGGAGAAGACTCAACATCTGCTGACCACTGGAGGCACTGAAAGCATCGACCATCTTGCAGGAGGAGGAGGAGGAGGAGGTTGGAGGAAGAGGAGGATATCCAATGGCCGATGCTGCAGACTGGTGGGCGGCAGCGGCCACAGCGGCAGCCACCGAAGATGACGGGTAGTTGCCGGTTGATTGACTCATCGAAGCAGGCAGTCCCAGTNAGGAGGAGGTTGGAGGAAGAGGAGGATATCCAATGGCCGATGCTGCAGACTGGTGGGCGGCAGCGGCCACAGCGGCAGCCACCGAAGATGACGGGTAGTGGCCGGTTGATTGACTCATCGAACCAGGCAGTCCCAGTTGGGCTGAGGAGGAGCTGCTGATCTGCTGTTGATTGTGTGATGACATGAAACTGTTGCCACCGCTGTTGCTTTGCAGCCCTTCCCCGTGGGGACTCATCTTCATGTGGCTCCACTCTTTGCTGTCGTATACTGAAGAATAAAGGGGGAGAAGATGAGAAAAGGCTGGGTCTAAAATAGGTTAAAATGGTGAACTTACGCTGACCCAGACTGGGAGCACTGAATTCCACACTGTCAATGTAATGGGGCTGACTGTACGTGGAAATGCCGTTCAGNGCCACCGCTGTTGCTTTGCAGCCCTTCCCCGTGGGGACTCATCTTCATGTGGCTCCACTCTTTGCTGTCGTATACTGAAGAATGAAGGAGAAGGAGATGAGAAAAGGCTGGGTCTAAAATAGGTGTAAATAGAACTTACGCTGACCCAGACTGGGAGCACTGAACTCCACACTGTCAATGTAATGCGGTTGACTGTACGTGGAAATGCCGTTCAAACCACCAACAGCACCAGCACTGCTGCTGCTGACTGCCACTGCCAGCGGTGAGGCGGAGAGCATCGTTGAGGGCGGGGAGACGCTGTTGCCGGAGCCAAAGGATGGCAGCGGGGGCTGCATACAGGCACCGGGCGTCTGCTTGCGAAGACGGGCGCGACGGTTGCTGAACCAGACCTGGGGAACAAAAGAGAACCAAAAATTGGTCAAAAATTGATAAAATAGCAACAAACAGTCTCCTCCTTTTCGTCACTCTATCAATCAGGGAGAGAGAAGGCACCCAAGAACAATTAGGCGCACTGCACAAATTGACTGCAACAGCATCCAGTGGATGAGCCACCTGATGATTAATCGTCTGCCTGAACACTGAGCGCTGAACTCTCGGCAGTGGTCAGCAGCGGATGCTGCACTGCTGTGCTGCTGGTGGTCGTAATTGATGATCACCAAAGGACACACACATACACACAACTGGGCACACAAACAGTGCAAGCACTTGAAGCACCAAAGAGATCAGACGGCAGACAGACGACGCAAGCAGGTCTAAGCTTGCTGATGCTGTTGCTCTTTCTTGACCACACACTGCACAGTGACAAATGATGTGCCGAAGCGGAGAGTGAGCAAATATTTGCATCCATTGGGTCAGCGACGCAGTCAGCAGTCCCGCGCATTGAAGACACTGAGAGAGTTCTTACTAGATTTGTTCTTACTGAGCTTCAAACACAGACAGACAGATGACTAATTGCCCAGCGACTGCACTGAAAAGCAGCACTGCCACTCATTCACCACNCGACGCAGTCAGCAGTCCCGCGCATTGAAGACACTGAGAGAGTTCTTACTAGATTTGTTCTTACTGAACTTCAAACACAGACAGACAGATGACTAATTGCCCAGCGACTGCACTGAAAAGCAGCACTGCCACTCATTCACCTTGTGGACAGTAGCAGTGCCACCGATATTAATTAACGACGACCATCTATTGATTGATGGTGCGCCCAGTGCACCCATGACTAGCCAGTGACACTATAGTGTTAGCCTTACCTGGACACGAGCCTCGGTGAGCTTCGTCCGCTGCGCCAGCTCCTCTCTGGTGTACACGTCCGGGTAGTGAGTGCGCTCGAAGCTGCGCTCCAGCTCGTCCAGCTGCTCGGTGGTGAAGGTGGTCCGGGAGCGGCGTTGCTTGCGCTTCAGTGGAATGCCCGGCTGAGACTCGCAGTCGGAGTCGTCCTCGTCACTGCGACCTATGATTGAAGAAAGGTAGACATTGCCGTTAGTACAAATGAGAGCTTATTAACTGTGCAAACAGAAAACATCGAGGATGAGTCTTAAGTGAAAATGATGAACAGCGGTGGTAATCATTTGACAATTGTGCTAATGCGATTCGATCTGCAGCAACAGCAGAAGAGTGGCTGAAGGAGACAATCACGACTAGACAAACAGACCATGGAGGCCACGTAGTCTCGACCTTACACAGGTCTGCGCCAAGTACTGTAAGTCTATTAAAGGTGTCTGTCCGTGTAATCCGATTTGTCGCCTACTCTCACGCGCTGCTAATTGACACGTTCCAAAGGTGCTACTGCTGCTGCTGTTTGTTTGTATTAGAAGTTAGTTGCGCCGATTACTGCGCTCCAATCACTGTGACGATGAAGTGCGAGGAAGAGAGATAAGCTCA